TATGGTCAAAGCCTGAGCTCTTTTTAATCGCTTAATTCCAGCCCTCATCATCACAGCGCGGCGCTGGACTCAAATGTGCTGATATTATAGACTCGTTATTGATATTCTTCCCGGAAAATCATGAAACAATCACAAAACATCTTTTTGATCTGATTGCATCAGACAAAACTAGCAACGAGCTGCAAGGAGAGGTAATAGTTAACGATCTCACATATATTGCATTTCATGTTAATCAAATTTGTTCTATTACAGTTGATCGATCTTCTTGGATTTGAACAGTTTGAGATGGTAGGGCAGATATTGGAAGCCCGTTATCAGCTAGCAGATGAGATGAAGGCGGCGAAAGAAAAGGCGAACACGTTGTCGAAATACGCTCCTGAGAAGGTCAGTCGTGTTGCTATAATCTTACTCTTAGTCGTGTTGCTATAATCTTACTCTTAATCTCACGTATTTTCGGTATCAAGGTTGTTTTTCCAAAATTTTTATTACATATTTCTAATTGTAGAAGATATGAGTATCTATAGTGGTAAGTTCACAATTCACACTATACAGTTCTTGATGAATGCTGCTGAGAAAGATAAGAGCATAACGAGACTTGGAATGAACCCGATACCTCCTTGGATACATCGCTCATTACAAATAAAAAGTTCGGGAATCTGAAAAATTCAGATTGTCATCAGAATGTCTCATTCCCCAAGAATGAATCCTTTCCACAACCTTGGATGTTTGATTGATTCTCTCTGGTGAACATCCGATTTTGACACGAAAAGCCTGAAAATGTGCATTTGTAATGGGTAGTGATCAATTGCAAAACTCGTTTTTGTTTTTTCTTACGTTTATCCGTCTCTGCCATTCTGGCGGCGCAATATATGCGAAGGCTACTCTGTTGTATTTCGGAGGTACAGGTGCACAAGCGATTTCTATACCCACACCTAAACGCTTGCGAGTCGATCTCTTGAGATTTTTTGGAGTCGAAAAGAGCGCAAACCTTAAAGGCAGATGGACAGGCAGAATGGACCCCTCTCGGATTTTGGTGGAGTAAGGTAGTAGACCCGCCAAGTACACCGTAGCCCAAGCCCCACTTGCCAGTTCATGCCCTTAGTCCTGAAAAATGCGCTTCAAACTTCCACCCATGACGCC